TATTTCCTGGCTGATCTAAATACACTTTCCAAACATAAATTGTTTATGGAGTATTAATCATTAAACTAGTGTTTCATTGTTCAGTGTTTTCCCAAAGTTCTTTTATTAAAAATTTATAAAAATAGCATATGTTCATTTCAGAAATTCAGCTGAGAAGTATATAAAACAATGTGAAAACCAATCTTAATTACCACTAGTATTTCCCTGTCTTCCATTCATCCCAGTATTCTTGCTCTTAAGAGATAATCATCTCTTTAATATGTATCTTTGAGACCCTCTTACAATACTTCTATAACTCTTGATTTTCACCAGTTCACTTACAGTGGTATTTATTTCTTTTGGAAACTCCTACACTGGGTTGAGGGTGACTTTACTTTGTTCATCATTATTGACTTGTCACTGCTGTCATCAGTGAGGAGGGCATATAAGGATGAATCAGACTTGTACCTCAAGTGGCTTTCAACGTAGTCGGGGAGAGATGTATACAGTGATAACTATAATACGAGATGAAAAAATGTAAGAGAGGGACAGATGGAGTGCTGTGGGATTCATGGAGTGATATTTACCTTTGACTGGCCAAGAGCTAATACCTGACCTATATCCTGAAAGACAAGATTTGGGCTGGGGGGAGGCAAAAAGCAAATACACTGGCAGGAGAAGGGCACAGAGATACTAGGAGTTTACAAGGTTATTCCATTTTCCTAGACTGTAGCGTGCATATATAGTAGTAGCAGCAGATAAAGAAGCTAAGGTAGTTTGGGGGAGAGCTCTGAACACCTCTATAATAAATCTTTAAAAAGTTTTAACAGAATAGTGCCATGACTAGAGATGTGCACTAGGAATCTTAAGTAGACATTATAGGGGTATAGAGTCAATCACTGGCTTTGCAGTAATTTAGAAGAAGAGTTGCCATAATGAGGTATAGTGGCCCTAGAGCTGCTACTGAAATAGAACCTGTAGGTCTGAACCATATTCCATCAAATCTGAGAAGGCGTTGATTGTAAGACACACCTTTATTTTGTGTACAGTGAGGGGAGACAAAAAAAACACTGCCAGTTATTTTTAGACACCACTAATTATAAGATATAACCTGATTTTAGAGATTATGATAATAAACATACATCATAAAATCAGCAAAATAGAGTAATTGCATATATATAGGGAAAAAGGTTGGGCACGCAAGAAAGACAGGAGAGAGGGGTGCCTGGGTGGCTCAGTCGGTTAAGCGTCCGACTTCGGCTCAGGTCATGATCTCACGGTCCGTGAGTTCGAGCCCCACGTCGGGCTCTGTGCTGACAGCTCGGGGCCTGGAGCCTGCTTCGGATTCTGTGTCTCCCTCTCTCTGACCCTCCCCTGTTCATGCTCTGTCTCTCTCTGTCTCAAAAATAAATAAACGCTAAAAAAAAAAAAAATTAAAAGACTGGAGAGAGCTGAGCAAATGAAAGAAAGGAGGAAGAGATCAAAGATACAAGTGGAAAAGGAGACCTTGAAGAAGAGAACACATCTTCCTTTACCATGAGATAAAGAAATGAATGAGCAGTACTCCAAGAAGTTTAGAAGTTGAAAAGCTAAAAACATTAAGCAAACTTCATTAAATAACCTCTATCTTGGTAAAAGAGAGGCAAGGTCATCTGTAAAAAGAATGACAGTGGTGGGTTTGAGGGCTTGGGACTTAAGAGTGAAAAGGTTTCAGGTAAGTGGGGCCTGAAAGATGGAATATTAAAAACAGCAAAGACTGAATGAGTTCCCATCAGAAATGAGGGGCCCAGTTAAGGTTGAAAAGCACAGATTTATAAAGAAACCAACTGGCCCTATTTTATGACTTTGTCCAGGAACACTTGGTACCGTGAGAGAAGGATGGACGAAAACTTGTGGAAGGTGCTTTCTGCAGGGTAGGAGATTGGCTGGACAGGTATGGTGGAAGGACAGAAAAGCTAAATAATCTAAGTTTCTCCCAAGGGATATTATTGATTTGGCTCACCATGAAGTTCAGGCTAAGAAATGAAAGGTGAGGCCAGAAAAAGAATAAACAGATTTTTTTAAGTTGGGTGGGGGGAGCATTTTTAAAGGGATTCAAGGGATACCTGGGTGGCTCAGTCAGTTGAACATCCAACTCTTGGTTTGTCCGACTCTCACAGTTTGTAACATCACTCCACCCACACCCCTGTATCAGGCTCCTCGATGGGCATGGAGCATCTCTCCAATTCTCTCTCTCTCTCAAAATAAATAGATAAAAACTTTATTAAAAAAAGGATTTGAGGGACGCCTGGGTGGCTCAGTTGGTTAAGCATCTGACTTTAGCTCTGGTCATGATCTCACAGTCTGTGAGTTCGAGCCCTGTGTCGGGTCTGTGCTTACAGTTCAGAGCCTGGAGCCTGCTTCAGATCCTGTGTCTCCCTCTCTCTCTGCCCCTCTCCTGCTCATACTCTGTCTCTCTCTCTCTCAAAAACAAAATAAACATTTTTTAAAAAGGATTTGAGGGGCGCCTGGGTGGCGCAGTCGGTTAAGTGTCCGACTTCAGCCAGGTCACGATCTCGCAGTCCGTGAGTTCGAGCCCCGCGTCAGGCTCTGGGCTGATGGCTCGGAGCCTGGAGCCTGTTTCCAATTCTGTGTCTCCCTCTCTCTCTGACCCTCCCCCATTCATGCTCTGTCTCTCTCTGTCCCAAAAAAAATAAAAACGTTGAAAAAAAAAAAAGGATTTGAGATTATTAAGAAGGTGAAAAAATTATTTTGAAGAGGAGGAGTAGGTAAGTAGAAAGTTGATTGGAGAATTTCAGAATTAAGATGATGGAGGTTGAATTCAGAAGATTGAATCTGGAAGATGTGTAATCTTTCTAAAACACAGATCGGAGTATGTCTCTATGTGACTTGGAAACCTGTATTTCAAGATGATGTCTGTACTACTGACAAGAACAAATAAGGCTCATCACAAGCTGACCCCATCCTACTTTTCCAGGCTAATATCTCCTCATTTCTTCCTGTGAACCCCATAGTCCAACCACTCTGAATTCTCTGTGGTCACAATCCTCAACGCTTTTATCTACCTTTTGCTTGTACACATGCTGTTCCCCTTGCATTAAATACCCTTCCTCCTCTTCTTTGCCTTGCAAACTCCTGCCCATCTTCAAGACCTAACTCAAGACCACACTTCCTCTGCCACATCCTTCTGGGTGCCCGCACACCACACTGAGCACACTTTCATCTGTGCACCAGGAGTACTCCCTTCAGACAGCCTATGGAATTTGGCCACAAGTATATTGATTTCCATGTCTTCCTCCAGTAGATTGTAAACTCCTTGAAGTCATAAACTATCTAATTCTCTTTACCCACAGTGCAAACATACACTGTTAGGTACTTAATAACTGCTTTTGTTGTCTTCGTTGAATTTTAAATGAAGAAGCTAATCCAGTGCTTCTCAAACACTAATGTGCATTCGAATCACCTGGAGATCTTGTTAAAATTCAGATTCTGATTCAGTCTGAGGTGGGGTCTGGGATTCTACCTTTCTAACAAGCTCCCAGTTGATGCCGGTGCTGCCGGCTCCTGAAACTAATTCAGAGTGTTTTCGCACAAGTGGAGTAAAGGTAAAGGTCCAGTGAGAGTGTGGGAGTGGGGCAGTTACGGTGACAGTCACTTGGTATGAGCACTAGAAAATCATGTAGGATGAGATGCTTAAATCACAGAATCAAGCAGACCGCTGTGGAAGATGGTTGACAGGACTGGTATGATCTAGTTCTAGGACTTCCTGTTTTCAAAAAGGAAAGGCTTTCCAGTCCTGGCAACTGTGTCAGGACCACAGCAAAGGATGCACTCCATGGAGACGGCGGGGATGGGAGGTGGGGTCAGAAGTCGGGTTTGGGGGCTCACAAGAAGGGTCTGCGGCCTCCCGTGTTTATTCCTGGTGAATGGCACATCTACCAGAGGGGGACGGAATGGAAAAGCTGCATTGTAAGAGAAGGGAGGCCCCTGAAGAGAGGGGAGGTTTAGCACCTTGACAAGGGATTATTTCCTGATCATAAGTTGATGGATTCAAAGTATGAAGATCTTCTTTCTTAAAATCATAGATGACAACAGAAGTAGCATTTAGTAAGCATTCTCTTCCCACATAGAGTCTCACAGGTCTGATAATGCTAAAGAGAAGTTCAGTAAACCTAATTTCTTTTAAGTACTATCGTACAGAAGTAATATGTGCTTTTGTAACATATGAAAAAAAGACAAAAATATTTAAATCTTCTCCACCAGTCCCCTTCCCCCACAATGAAGTAATTGATTTTTACAGCTTGATGTATACTCTTCTAAGCATTTATCCATGCAAATTTATATACACATAGACAGGATTTTTTCAAATTCCATAATGGCATTTTCCATGCATACTATTCTGCAGATTGTTTTTCTCACTTAGGAATGTTGTAAACATCCCTCCAGGTCAGTGGATAGAGCTCTTATTTTTTCCTAGTCATTTTTAAATAGCTGTGTATAAATATAGATGTCCCGTAATTTGTTCTGCACAATTTGGTAATTTAAAATTTTTGCTACTACAACCAATATGACACACACAAAAAGGTCCTACTGTTACCAGCACCTCCGTAACACAACTCTATGATTTCAGCCAACTGTATGTATACAGGCAACTTTTATATCAAGGACATCTTTCAATGAGGCAAAGCAGTAGCTAGGCCTGCACTAATATAGTAGCCACTAGTCACATTTAGCAATTTAAATTTAAATTTGCTAAAATTAAATCAAATTAAAAATTCTCTTCCTCAGTCACATCAGCCTCCTTTCAGCTGCTCAGCGGCCACATGTGAGTAGTGGCTACCCTATTGGATAGTAAAGAACAGACCATTTCCATCCTCACAGAAAGCTCCATTGGACAGCCTGGACTAGACGCTGTAATGCCACATCATAAAGAAGAACGTGATTTTTCAGTGGGTTAGCATTTTAATGAGAGCACGTTTCTTAAAGTACAAACTTTGTGTCTTAATTGGTTGCCCCTGCAGTTACTTCAATGAGAATCAATACCCAGATGAAGCCAAGAGAGAAGAAATTGCAAATGCTTGCAATGCAGTTATACAGAAGCCAGGTAAGGCGGCAGCTGCCACTTAACTCAGCGGTGGAGCTCTCGGCCTCACGTCATCATCTGGGACAAGAATCTTCTTTTACTCATTGCAACTGAGTGCCCTAGGTTCCATTCCCACCACCCTCCTGTGCAGTCACTGCCCTGTCCTGTTCGGGTGGTACTTCTCGGGGATGTAGTTATGGTGGTCCAGATCAGGTGTTCATATGGAAGGTTGCAAGAGAGTATCCCTGCTTAAGATAGGAGGCCTGGAAATGATAAAGATTATATAGATGTCTTTAAAAATAGAGCATAACTATATCAATTCCAAAATAATTTTAAAGTTTGGAATATTTAACCAAGTCTTGTAAATAAATGAAAAGATGTATGTATGTATGTATGTATGTATGTATGTATGTATGTATGTATTTTGCAAGTGTTATATAATTCTGTATTCCTGTTTGAAGAATGAATTCTTATTAAAATTGGCTTGTTAATCTTTCCCGCATTGGGATGAGTTCTGCATTGTTAGGAAAAACTTAGGGTAGTTCCATTCTAAAGTCCTGTTGTTCCCGTGCAAGTCAACGGAGACACTTAAAGATACAAGACTTTTTTTCCATGTGTTAAAATGTTATTCCACATTTTACGGTTTTTGTTACCAGAAACTGTTCTCAGTTAAGATGATCAATTGATCTTCATTTGGCCAGTTAATTTGAATGGCCTAAAGGCTATAGATACAAAAGTGTCAATATTTTATCATAATTAAACTGTAATTTATTCTCCCTTACCCGGAAGCCTGACTTCTAGCAATCTAGACCCTACAGACACATCTCCAGTGACACCTATACCCTAACCTCACACCAGCCACAGTCCCACCCCAGAAGCTGTGCAGGAACTCAGAGCCTTCCTGGAAAACACTTCACCCTGTGTCATCAACACCTTAACCTTTTTTCTGGCTTCTCCACCCACTGTGGATTAAAAGCTTAGTAGACAGAAAAGGACAGGGGAGGAGGAAAAGGTACAGGTGGACCCTTGTTTGCAGGCATGGTGTTAATCTGTAAGAATTCACATTTGACAGCAAAGAAGGTAATAAATTTAAAATGCAACCTGAATTGTGCTATGTGTTCTAGTATAGTTATAATAATGGATGGTCAGAGTCAAGAAAACATTATTGACAATAATTATTCTTCTGTCCTAAGACAGCAGGAAACTAGTTTATGTAAGGCTTTAGAGATTTAAGTAAACTTCAACTACCTGGAAACTTGATGAAGAGTAACACACTCATCTAGAAAGATGCTAATTGAATGAAGCCTCCATGTACTATCATCTGACCTTTGAACCCTAGAGTTGAATTTGTGGAATTTATTAATTTTGTATTTAGTATTGAAATTTCTTTAGTATTGTGTGGTTTTCTGAAATATTTTGTTATTAGTTGCTATTTCTGTATTTAGTGTTTATTCATTCAGTAATAATTTAAGTGCATACATACTACTAAAAAAAACAATCCCCCGTATCTGTTGTTCTGGCAATAAATGCAATCAAAAGAACTTTTCAAAAAGAAAAGTATTATTCCTTAAAACTAGTCTCAGATACAGACTATCTGAATTTTATTGCATGCATTCACAGGCAAAAAACTGTCAGATCTGGAACGAGTTACCTCCCTGAAAGTATATAATTGGTTTGCTAACAGACGGAAGGAGATCAAGAGGAGAGCCAATATTGGTAATGTATCAGAGAGGCTGCTTTCTTTTTTGAAGCAGTCCTAGACATCAGTTTTTGGTTTTTGGTTTTTGGTTTTTTTTGAAAGTACCTTCAGTTTAGAACTGCAGGTCTTAACAATCCTTACTTTTAAGCCTAACAAGAATTGTCCTTATGTTTTTCTTTGTGTTTTTAAGAATTAGAATTTCTTGCAGTATTTGTATTATACTAATAATGGCATTGTTCTTAATGTTTTAGAATCTAGAATTAGACATGGCCCCTGACCAATTACTCCTGTGCCTCATAGTAAAGATGCTTGTTAAGGTCTTGAGAGAAGGAGTGAGACCCTGAGCTTCTTTGTTGTTACTGGGCTGTGACTTAGGTATTAAGAAACATATGATTAATAGAACTGGAATGAAAGAGTCTTAATAGGGAACATAGCAAAACACAGATTTTTTTATTTTATTTTATTTATTTATTTACTTATTTATTTTCAATATATGAAATTTATTGTCAAATTGGTTTCCATACAACACCCAGTGCTCATCCCAAAAGGTGCCCTCCTTAATACCCATCACCCACCCTCCCCTCCCTCCCACCCCCCATCAACCCTCAGCTTGTTCTCAGTTTTTAAGAGTCTCTTATGCTTTGGCTCTCTCCCACTCTAACCTCTTTTTTTTTTTTTTTCCTTCCCCTCCCCCATGGGTTTCTGTTAAGCAAAACACAGATTTTTAAGAAGAGCATTTCAGAAACATGAATTAATGAGATTGGGGTGGGGGGTTGGTTTTGAGCTTTTAAAATTGTGTTTCAATTCTAAACTTACTCCCCATCAATACAATTCTCAAACACTTTACAGAACCCCAAGACAGGAGGGCTGTTTAATTAGTTGGTAAGTATTTATGAAGCACCTAACAGTCAACCACTCAGATGTGGCATGTGAAGCAGCAGGGGCTCCAGAATGACCACTGTGTTCCTCTCCTGGCCTATGTGCAGCTGAATTCTACCTGTCTGCAATTTAAAAGAACCAAAACGTAGAGGAATCTAGGTTCTTGTTTAATTACATTCTGATTTCCTCAGCACAAAGATTAATTCAGTGTTTTGGTTATTACAATAATGTAACAGATAATTTAGGGATCTATTTGCTTTTTTCGAAGAAGCAGCAATCCTGGAGAGTCATGGGATAGATGTACAGAGTCCAGGAGGCCATTCCAACAGTGATGATGTTGACGGAAATGACTACTCAGAGCAGGTGAGCAGCTGAGCAGAGGTTCTTGGTTACAGAGTGGGTGGGATAGTATGACAACTCAATTCTGTGGGTGTGTTTTGTACGGGGTGGGAGAGAGGAGACAATCTAATGTCCCTCCACTCTGCTCATGTGTGTAGTTAGATTTTCATGTAATTTGAAAGGAATGTGGTATAAGATTCAGTTGTCCTGTAAAATTTGTAAGAAACTGTTATTCACCCACATGGATTTATTGTCATACAACAGGATACTTGGCAAGTACGCAATGGGGAGGAGGAGGAGGGAAGAAGTTCAGAGGGAGGCAGAGAAGCAGAGAAGGTAGAAGAAGAGAGGAGGATCTGATCCAAACAAGCAAGTTACACCATCCACCACACACACACTCAATGTTTGAGAATACTAAGGGCTACTGGGTAGCTATACTCCATGCCTAAACCTGTACCAATGCAGCACACAGTGGAAGGTCCCGCCCACCACGGCCCCATTGCAGTGAGAACCCTCATGCCCGGATGAGTGGTTCTTTCAGAGTCTCTGGCACATTGACACACACATCCTCTCATAAATGCATGTCTTCTCACCTCACCCTGACTTAGTTTTCATTGCTTGGGGGAAAAATATATATTTAATTGTAGCCACTGGATGGAATAATTCAGTAACTAAGAATGTGGGAATTTTCCCCCCACATATCTGTTGACAGATTTCATTAAAATTTTCATAGGATTTAAAATTTGTTTCTGTTTGGAATATGAAAAAAATGTATGATGTCTTCTGGACCACAGCAGGAGAACGTTTGCTGTTTCCTGTAGTGTATATATATATCTCTTCCTCGCCCCTCAGTCAGTTCTGAAATAATAGCCCACTTACGTTCTTCCTTCTGCCATCCATTTTGTAGCCTCTGTTTACCAGCTTGAGCGCAGACACGGCAGGAATGCACGAACTTTACACGAGCCCCTTTTAAACTCTACAGACCACTTTGTGGAAATGAGAATGAAACAGTGAGGCCCATAATTCCCAGCGGTTACCTTTTTTCTTTTTACACTCCCAAATCATAGCTCCACATTTTACTGAAGAAAATATCTGTCTTTCTAATCAGAAACATTCCTGTTACTTTTCAGTCTACTAATGTAGATGGATCACTCCCCGTTTTTTTTTTTTCCAGATGCCCTAAGGGCAGCACATCCCATGATTCCCTCCCTCCCCACCCCACCCCCCCAATCCACCAGGATCTTACCCTTTCCCAAGCTTTTTGATGCGAGAGTTCCCCTGAAGGCATGACAGGTGAGAAACTTATCCCTTATTTGTAACACCATCTTCTGGTGCCTGACAAACATCCTGCGGTGCCAGTTTCCTTCACAGCTTTGTTGTGCTGTGCACAGAGGGAGAGCTTCCCACTCCCCCTAAATATGACACCTGCCGCTTCCCTGGTGTCTTCCTGCAGGAGAGCACCACACATTTTCACCCATAGCCATTGCTGGCAGTTATACTTTTGTCCTGTTGTAATCGAGAGTTTTTTGGGTCTTTTGTTCTTTTGTGAAAATGCATTTTTATCCATAAGATGTTGGTGTCTGTAGTTTAGTCTAGTTTTCTCAGCTCAGTAGAAAGATACCATGAGCTCTGATAATCTGTACGAGTACTAGTCCAGAATTCAATAGCTCACTAGTATGGCCTTCAGTGACTAGTGCTATGTTTGTTGCAAACCTAGAATGATCAGGTTTGATTATCATCACCAGCAATCTTTCTGATAGAAGGAAAAAATTCTTAGCAAGAAAAAAACATTTTGGTGCTTTTTATTTGTTGAATCATGGAAATGTCAACTGGAAGTCTGGACCTATTTCCATTCAGTGTCTACTTAAATACATTTCACCTCTACTCTGTCACGAGCCCCTCACCCACTGTGTCCTCCCACGAATGTTCTGCCTCCCCTTGCCCTCAGCATGCCTTTCTGTGAGTTGGAGAATTTTACCAATCCACTAATAACATTTGTTTCTTATTTCTGCATGTCTAGGATGACAGCACTAGCCATAGTGATCACCAAGACCCCATCTCATTAGCTGTGGAAATGGCAGCAGTCAACCACACTATCTTGGCCTTGGCCCGACAAGGAGCCAACGAAATCAAGACAGAGGCCCTGGATGACGACTGATCAGGGAGGGTTGAACATGAGAAGTTAACTTAGTTTAGACGTAGCACCTTAGCAGACTTTCCTCGGTCCTTAACATGTGTTCTTACAGTATAACTTGCAGTTTCTTGTATGTCAGTTAGCCCTTAGGGTCTTGTTCTGTGAAGATGGCATGGTGCCCTCAGCCTTTGCATATACTCTCTCAGTATTAATTCCCAGTAAATAATAACCAACCAACCAACCAACCAAACTTCCCTCTCCCAGCCCCCGAGGCTAGAAAATCTTGCTGCTCTGTCTTAGCATTCCAAGAAAGTGCTTCCAGGTATTTAGATAGCCCTCAGTTCTCAAATAATAGGCTACGTGTAAAACCTTGGGTACCTTTAGATTCCTGTAACACTAGTCTGTACCCTTTTCCTTCCCCAAGACTGATAGGATGCAAGCTGAGGTAGTGTGGCCCAGGATTGACAGACACCATTCGGGGAGTATCTGCAGAGTAAAAGGAACACTAGAATTCCCACTTAGCTTGGGAATAATTGATTTCCAGCTGCAATAAGCCGTGCCTCATAATAGTCACACTGTGGCTAGATTATACTTCTTTGGGTGCTGTGGAAAAATGTGGAATGTCCATGGAAAAACTTGATCTCAGATTTTGGTTGATGTTAACATGCCTGACACAGACATCCTTTCCTCTCACAAGCTGTGTGACTTAGTAGATAAAATACTGCCTTCTGCCTTTGGGACCATGATTCAAACACACAAAAAAACAAAAGTCATTTAAAAAAACAAAACAAAACAAACCCAGCTTGAGAGCATTGGAAAACAAAACAAAACAAAACAAAAAACATGAGCTGAATGTCTAATGGATGTTAAGTCCAGTTCTCAGAACCACTGTACGTTACGCGGCACAGGTATGTGCCTGCCTGCAAAAGTGCTGGAGGTCATCATGGACGCTGCTTTGCCTCCTGTTTGTGTCCCCTTTCCCTGCTACCAAAAAAAAGTCTTTCAAGGATGGAGCTAAGGTCACAAATGAGTGAATGAACTTCCAGTCTTTGTATCCATTAACTGGAGCCCCCTCAATATGAGAGGTTGATAGAGGACTTTATGGTGGGATTATGCTGACTGACTATCACAATTGCAAATACTTTCCTAAAAAGGAGCAGAAAAAAGCAGGGGACAATTGCCACTTGCGTGGTGTGTCTTCAAGATACAACGTGATGTGACTGCTTTGGTGTTCTCTTTACTCTGTCCTTGTAGAGGTGTGAAAAGCTATATTGCTACAGGCAATTTATTTAATAATTGGAAGCCATATTGATAATGGATGTGGTAATATTTGTAAAGTTTAATCTACTTTAAGCGGCAGTAACTAATGGAATTTTTTTCCTTGATCACATATGTAGCACTTTTGTTACTTTTTAAAGATATTTATATTTGATAAATCTTTTTTTCATTTTGAGAACTCAAAATACCAAACAGTGAACTTGCGTTATAAAGTCACCCTGTGATCACCTTGTCATCTAGTAGCAAAATGATGAACTATTCATGCATCAAAGAAAATTACATCTGCTGGCCTTGTATGAAAATGATCTCTTGGCATCCCGATTAAATGACACACTGTCACTGTGGGGAAGAGGAAACAGCCTTCAATGTAGCGGCGTAGGGTGCGTCTGAGGGAGGCATGACTGCTGTGTATTTTCTGCCTCGTTCCATCTCCTTTCTACGCACAGTGGAGCCTTGTATAAAGGGGGATTTGGGGCTGGCTGTTAACTGTCTTTTCGTCCATTATCTAAGAACAATTTCTAAGATGGAAGGAAGGCGCCATTTCCTTACCTCTTCACCTCCATGCCCCCACCAGATGTATTCAACCTAAAACCATTGAGAAGAGAGTGAGACTGACCTTCTTTGTTTTTCCCTTTCTCATTAGTAGATATTAAATACCCACCAGTTTTTAGCTGGTCTGACTCCATTTAAGGCATATGCTGACAAGGTCTTCTCCCTGTCTGTTCATCCTGCCTACGCCAGTGTGCGGAAGCCTTTAGAGGGCATGAAAATGCCACCTTATATGGGTCTGTGACTTTAAAGAGCTAAGGGCAGAGACTGGGCCTGCTCTTGTCTGTGGATTTCAGGCAGAAAATGTATATACTTCTTCCAGCTTCCAAGAATTGGAGTAAAATGGGGTAGTCTTTTCTGTTTGACTGTATTACTTGAACCAACAGATTCAAGAGTAGCATTTGTTATTCTCAGGAATGATCCCCCTGCTCATTTTCTTTCTTGGTGTGTTTGAGTTTTTATTTCAATTAGGAGATTATGTTATCTTTCTTTCCTTTTATATTACTTAGAAAAAAAAATGTAACATATTGTATCTTCCCATTCCGGTGAAATTTTGTCTGCTTATTCTCAGTTGAATCAGAAAGAAAAGAGAGGAAAATATACTGTCTGACAAGCCACATCCATGATTTATTGTAAGGAGATTATTATAATTGATAGCTTCTTTATGATGGGATTGCTAGTATCATTTGTTCTTGCTGGTCTTTTTAAAGAAACAGACTCAAACTGTTAAGACAGCTGCAGTTTCTAAAGAAATACGTGATTGCCAGAGAAGAGCTAAAAGGTTTCATTGTTTTAAGGCCTTAAGGAAGGAGAAAAGCTTCAGAGAAAAAAGGGAGTCAGTATCCATGAAAGCAGTAGCGGGCCCTATCTGGCAACCTGGAAAAAGTAAGAGCACAAAGCAGGATAGCCTCATATTGGGTTCAGGAAGAAGGAATCTTTCATCCAGAATTCTTCTTTTAATTGAAGAAGACTGCTGGCCTGCTCTTAAGACCCGCTGCCTTACATATAACTTTTGCTTTTTCACCGAGAGCAAAAATACAGTTCTTTGGGGCCTAGATTTAAATCTGCCATTGTTTTTTTGTTTTTGTTTTTGTTTTGTTTTTGTCCCTGGGTTCAATTCTGCTGTCTTGTCCAGTCTACCTTAGTTCTGTGGCACACAGAGTTGTCACTGTCTTAATTTGTAGTATCTTTGGATGGTGAATTTTTTTCTTAAAAAACCCTAAATTCCTGTCTTACTGAAGGGAAAAGAGCCAGACTCAAAAAAAAAAAAAAAAGAAAAAAAGAAAAAAAAAATCCCATTATGTACTTTTGGGTTGATCTACCCCTCTTTTTTTACTCCATCCTGTACATCCCTCAGGCCCCAGAGGACTGTTTCAGGACTGCTCTTCCCTAGTGAAGAAGACTAAATAAAAGGGTGGGGTGGAAACCTTGTCAGCAGTTCTTATAGGAACTTGTCTGTTATTTTTTGAAAGACACTTTCATTGAATTACTATAGTCACATGGGTAAACTTCCTACTCTTCTTACAACACAGCCTTACAAAGGGACCTTTTAAAGATGGACCATCTGAATGAGATTTCTGATTTGCTGTTGATAACCCTAATGTGGGGTGAAGGCCAGGGAGGGCAATACAGTAACACTCTTAGCTGAGACCTTCTGGTGTCAGTCAGTACCAAATAGACACTTTGGTTTATTTCAGCAAAGCTTGTAATTGTTGAGTACCCCTTAGGGCATTTCTTCACAGTCTCAGTCCTTTAAGTGGTTGAAAAGTGCGGTTACCTTCCACCTACCTATGGGATCTGTACAGTTCCCACACACTGTCTTTGGGTGGGCGGCCCCTCCCCCCACATTCTCCTGTTCCTTCACAGGAAGAAAGTTCCTGGAACAGGAAGACCCCTTTAAGGTACCTTTCACTGAAGCTCAGTAGAGGTGACCACCTAAAAAGATACGGGTGAGGAAGCAGCTGCTCATCAACAGTGAAGTATGCAAATCCAGTACTGTGGTTCCTGGTAGATTTTCGATGGCACGCAGTCCAGTAACCGACAGTACCGCTGTTGGGGCCAGATATCCACATATATTTTTACCTCAAAGGGGACAACTCATGAAGAGCTCGCTCATAACACTCATTTCAGTTCTTTACAAACTTCCCTCCTGGACTCTAGCCATCAAGCACCAAGTGTAAATAGACTTACTTCATCAGGAATCTCCAGTCACATTCTCTCCCTCTGTGAACAGCTCCCCTTCCATTTGCCTCTGGGCTCCAATACTAAGGGCCTCATCTTGAGCAGACATCTTTGCTGGGATTTTTATCTTCCACAGAAGGCAGAGCATGTGGGTGTGGTCCATCTCTTCACACAAACACTCCTTTCTGTCTTGCAGGCCATCTTTGTGACCAGCTACATATTCCACTGACCAGCTACATTATCTCTGCCCATAACAGTGGAAATAATCCCTTTTTCACACACAGTCCTACCCATCCTAAAAATGTGAACTTCAAGTCCTTACTCTCTTGGTCCTAAGAAGGGTTTGGGTAGAAGCAGTCTTCCCATGTAACTTGTAGCTCTGCCTTTTAAAATTGCTTTTTGTCTTTTTTTGTTCAGAGAACAACCGGAGTATTTTTCCCCAATAAGTCTCAACAGATTCTTAGGCAATAATTTTTCTTGTTATTGATGATCTTGTGCTCAGTAGCACTCTACACTGAATAGTCCTGACCCTTCACGTTGTGCGTTGGTTTTCTGTGTTAATCTCTGTCCGTGATTTAAATCTTAGGTCAGAGTGGTGATAGATTTTGTCATTTTGTTGTTGTGATTATTAGTAATGTTTTACTACTGTATTCACTGGGGCTGCATTGAGACCAGCCAAATCCATTTATAGCTTTACTGAGCCGGTTTTGTTTGTCAAGATTTCCCAAGTGAAAGTTGGGCGCACTGACCAGCTGCTGGCTGACAGCGTCTTTCTGGAGCATAGGGATGGGGTGGGGGATGCACTGGGGAAGGGGTGGGAATTACACATTTAAAACATTCCTTTTTCTGTGCTCTCTAAATAGCAAGGATGTTTACTCAGGATTCGGGTATCAGTTGTCGGCCATGTTGAATTTGGCTAACTGAGCTGCCTGCCCGAAAACCTTCTTCCTGTTTCTTAATTTCCAGACTAATTTACATTACTTCAGTAATACCTAAGTTTTCCAGTTTGAAGGTAT